CAGGTTGGTAGTATGATCCAGGCAGAATCAGATCCTCAGAAGAGGGGTGAATACCTCCAGAGGTTGATGGCTCTCCCAAATGAGGTTCGTCAAGTAAAAGGGTACCTGCTCAGATTGTGCTTGACATAGCTTGCTAAAGCTTTTTTTTTTCTTTCTATAATATAGAAATGGGCAGAAATCATAGGACAAGCACGTCAAAGTGCTGATATACTGAAAGACCCAGATGTGATACGCACGGTGCTTAATATCCTCCAGGTCCGATATCTCGATCTTCGTTGGATTTTTTTTGTTTTTCATTTTTCCAGTGCATTGGAATTTAATACATAAAATAGCAATCCATATGGTTGAGCTGGTGCATCAGTACACTTTGGTTTGACTGCATGGTGCAACTTAAATTTGTGTGCAGACAAATACGAGCGTTGCAACTTCACTAGGAACATACTTTTTATCTCAAATTTCGTTGATCTTCTTGGATATGCTGAACGTTTACAGGTAAGTTCTTTATACATCAGTTATATTGCTCTTAAGAGTTATGAGGCAGTCCCTCTGTTTATTTTGACATAACTTAGTAACAATTGACTTTTTTCTTCCTCTTCTGCACCAGAATGTACAGTGAACTCGTGTCAAGCAACATTGCTGATGGTGGTCCATATGCTTCGAGGACATCTTTTGTTAAACTTCTAAGGTAGGACAGCTTTATATACAAAATAAAATCACAAATCTTGATCTCCCTCTATTTACAAACTGGAATAATTCTTACATCTTTATCCTTCATGGAACAGGTCTGTTAAGAGGGAAATTCTTAAGCTGATAGAAACTTTTTTAAACAAAGCTGAAAGCCAGCCGCACATTGGAAAACAATTTGTTCCACCAATGATGGATCCTGTACTTGGTGACTATGCAAGAAATGTTCCGGATGCAAGGGAATCAGAAGTTCTATCACTCTTTGCGACGATAATAAACAAGTATGTCTCTTGTCTGTTGATGCCTGCCTAACTAATCCAGGATGTTTACGTTCTGAAATTTTGAGAATACTTTTAATAATCATCATGGATTTTTTGAACTGGTTGATGCATAAATATATCAATATTATAAAATCTCAAAATAAGTTTTACCGCAAGATGTAACATGGAAATCTACTACCTTCTAAGCCAGCAAGTTGTTGATGTGTTCGTGTAGGTACAAGGTTGTAATGCAAGATGAGGTGCCTCACATTTTTGAAGCTGTTTTCCAGTGCACTTTGGAGGTAACGTATTATATGGTCCATGGATATACTTCCCACATGTTTATCTCTAAGTTAACGCTCCACATATTTTTTATGCAGATGATTACTAAGAATTTTGAAGATTATCCAGAGCACCGCCTCAAGTTTTTCTCGTTACTTCGTGCTATTGCTACACATTGTTTCCGTGCCTTGATACAGTTGTCAAGTGAGGTTGGTGATTATGGTCCTTGCATTTAGTTTTCTTTGCGTGATCTTAGAAAACTATTAACGTTTTCTATATTGATAGTTTTCTAGTGATCTCTGAGCTTTTCTTGTCTTTGTGCCTCTTTTTTGTTAATTATCAGCAACTGAAGCTAGTGATGGATTCAGTAATCTGGGCATTTAGGCATACCGAAAGAAATATCGCTGAAACTGGGCTTATCCTCTTGCTGGAGATGCTGAAAAAGTTTCAGGTTTTGGAAATTTCCCTCTCGTCTATTGGCTTTAGCTGTTGTGGCATAATGTGCTTGATCTAACATGTTTTCTCTCTGGTTGTGACAGAAATCTGACTTTTGTAACCAATTCTACCGGACATATTTTATGCAAATTGAGCAAGAAATATTTGCCGTCCTGACAGATACCTTCCATAAGCCAGGGTTCAAGTTGCATGTGTTGGTGCTACACCATCTATTTAACCTGGTAATAATATATACAGATTACTTATATACATCTACCATTTGCTAGTTTCTGTGAATTCAAGGGAGATTGATCATAAAATTTATCAGGTTGAGAGTGGTTCTTTGACGGAACCTTTGTGGGATACTGCAACAGTACCTCATCCGTATACAAGTAATGCGGCTTTTGTTTGTGAATACACCATCAAGCTTCTAAGCTCATCATTTCCCAACATGACTACATCAGAGGTAAGATAAAAACCAGAGGATTTGCTTGTTTCGTTAATATGATTCCGTTACCACTGATCCTGAAATTACTACAAACAGGTGACGTTGTTCGTGAATGGACTTTACAAGACAAGAAGCAGCCGAGACAGGTTTAAGAATAACATACGTGACTTTCTAATACAGTCCAAGGAATTTTCTGCTCAGGTATAATAATAATAATCAACTAAAAGATTGGTTTCTTCGAAAACAAGATTTCATTCAAAACTCTGTATTGAATGGATATATATTTTAATACAGGATAACAAAGATTTGTATGCTGAGGAAGCTGCTGCTCAGGTGGAGATAGAGAGACAAATAATGCTTTCGATTCCTGGTCTTATTGCTCCCAATGAGATTCAAGACGAAATGGCTGATTCTTAGGCGAAGCATTTATTCAAGGCTTCAAATAGTTTTTTCTTTTTGTAGAGCCTCCTAATTTCCTACAATATAGAAAAGAGAAGTGTTAGATTCTACATTACGGTTTAGAACAAAAGAAGGCTTGGATGATTTGAATTAGTATCTATCAATGAATTCTTTTTAGATGCTTAAAAAAAAAAGTCAAATCCCTAATGAAGAAAGTAAAAATGTCTATCATCACTTAATATTAGTCAGACTAAACCGGAATTAAAAATCGAATCACCAGATTGAGAAAACCAAAGCCGAATCTTGTAATATATCTGGGAATCCATTGTACCGAGAACGCTACCTTTCCTCTCTCCCTCTCTTTCTCGGAAAAACTCTTTTTTTTTTTTTCCCTGGAAATCGATCATCTTCCTTTTTGATTCTCTCTGTTTCCTTCAGTTTTCTTCATCTCTGTTCTGTTTCGCGACGATAAGATAAAGTGACTTTGTGGGTCGGAGGTTTTAGCTTTTTGCGGGTTGACATGGGTCAAACTTTTCGTAAGCTTTTCGATACTTTCTTCGGCAACCAAGAGATGAGGGTACTCTCGATCTTCTCTTTGAATTTTGGTCTCGCTTGTGTATCTGGAATGTTTCGATCGTTTACTTTGTGTTCTTCCCCTTTTTGACTGAATCGCTTGTTAATCTATTGGGTTTTAAGGAATTCATGAAAAGCATTATTCGTGTGATTTGGTGCTATCTTCCAAGGAAAATCATGAATTAGTGTCTGAATTGAATCACTGATGGTTACTGGGATGAATTTATATGTTAAGAGAGTTACTTGGGTTTTTTCTTTGCCCTCAGATGGACTGTAAGGAATCTCTGGTTATAGAAGTAAACGAGTAAATCTGTTTATATAGTTGATTTTGTTCTTCTTTCTTCTGTTTTCAAATCGAATGTGTATGGCTTAGTTCTTAATTTTCTGTGCTACTTCAGATTTTGTGGTGTTCTTCTTGATATATGACTAATCTATGTTGCATGGTTAACTTAATAATGTGCCCAATCTGATGAACATAGGAGAAGTTTAGATTTGGTGATTTTCTTCTTGTGTTTTCACTTGGAGATGTCAGGTCGTTATGCTTGGGTTGGATGCGGCTGGTAAAACAACAATACTTTACAAGCTGCACATAGGAGAAGTTCTGTCAACTGTTCCCACTATCGGTAGGTTCAGATTGCCCAAGTATCTAGATTTGGCCTCTGCGCCTTTTTCTGGTTTATTTTACAACTTGACACAATCTGTGTTCTTGCCACATCTACCATGTACTGCATTAAACGATGCCGGATACTTTTACTGGTTTGCTGAGGATTTGAAATTTCTTACACAGGTTTCAATGTTGAGAAAGTTCAGTACAAGAATGTGATGTTCACAGTTTGGGATGTTGGTGGCCAAGAAAAGTTGAGGCCCTTGTGGAGGCATTACTTCAATAATACCGATGGACTAGTAAGTCTATACTTACTTCAGCTCTGCGTGGATTTCATGGAGTCTCTTCTCCTCGTTTCTATGCTTTTCTCATTTCCGGGCTCTGATTCTTTAGAAGAGAATTTTTAGACAGATGATTACCTCATGTTGTTTTGGAATACTCTCTGATTTTGATTGCTCGATGCACTTGCAGATATACGTGGTAGACTCCTTGGACAGAGAGAGAATTGGCAAAGCGAAGCAAGAGTTTCAGGTTGTACGGTACCTTTAGATAAATTTCACAAGGCTCTAGGTAAAATTAGTCTCTGCAGAGTTTCTAACCTCTCTGTTAATTGATATATTCAGGACATCATAAAAGACCCATTCATGCTCAACAGTATCATTCTAGTGTTTGCAAACAAACAAGACATGGTAGATTTCAAAGCTTAAGCTTTCCTTCATTGAACTTTTTATCTCATCCATACACTCTGATACTAAAATTATGTCTGAATCTCAGAGAGGAGCCATGTCTCCTCGAGAGGTATGTGAAGGGCTTGGCTTATTAGATCTCAAGAACAGGAAATGGCATATACAANGCACATGTGCTCTTCAAGGAGATGGGCTCTATGAAGGCTTAGACTGGTTATCGTCCACGCTCAAAGAGGTTAAAGCCGCTGGTTACTCATCTGTTGGTCCCTCGTTTTAACTCACTCCATATGCCCGACTAGGTTAATTGACATACAAAAAGTACCAAATCAATCTCATGGTGTCTCTCTCTCTCCCCACCATTATATATATACTTTTGAACCATGGCCAGTGTCTTCTTCAAAGTCTCTAAAGACTTTTGTTATGGAAGTGTTCTTTTCTTTTTCTTCTCTCTTTTTTTCTTCACATGGTTCTGCTTATGAAAGCCAATGTTAGCATCAATTAGGCTCCTTTTTGCATGATATGACATTGGAGCTCATTGTATATTCTGATGGAAAAAATGTATAATCTGCAAAATTCTCATGTGATTATGATTATCAACGTCCGTTAAAGCTATGATAGATAATTGATATTTCGTCATCTTAATAACTATGGTTTTAATCTGAATTCTTTTGAGATGGTGAAACATACTGCTAAATCGTGATTTCAAAAAAAGTGAAAAAGAACTTAGGAATAGAAAAGATTTGATTAAAACTTCTGTTTGCGTTTTCTTAACAAAAGAAAACAGAACAATTTGATTAAAACTTCTGTTTGCGTTTTCTTAACAAAAGAAAACAGAACAATCTAAGAAAACAAAAGAAACAACAATTTTTGTTTTTCCCAGAGAGAAAAGGAAAAGATTTCAAAAAGGGAACTATAAGAGTTTCTTCTCTAGTCTAAGTACTTGTGTTGTGGCCTGCTCTTGCTCTTAAGAGCAAGTTCTTTCACCATCTTCGTTAGTTGCCTCATGCTTACATCTTTAAGTCTCTCTTCATCGATCTTCTTTGCCTCAGCCTCGGCCTCTGCTTTTCTCTCGCCATTGTTGTTAAGAAGAACCATCTCCTCAACATTCTCCTTGTTCTTGTTGTCGTCTGCAACAAGAGCCATTGATTCTGCTTCTAATGGACAAGTTGGAGTCTTCTTCTTGTCTGAAACAGGAGCCGCTTCCGATTCAGAATCAACCAGTTCTTCAGATCCGAAACTGTTTTCATCTATCTCGTCTATCTCAAAATCGGACCACTCATCGCTGTCTGATTCGTGATCTTTCTCAGCAAGAGGCGGAGAAGAAGCTTGAGCCTTCTTCATGTCTGAAACTTGAGACACCTCTGATTCGTTATCATCAACGAATTCATCAGACATGCGAATCTCTTCTTCCTCTGGCTCGCTGCTTTCTTCTGAGTCGAGTTCTTTCGATTCATCAGCAACCAGAACTGTAGGGACAGAGTCTACCTTACTCACATCATCACTCGTAGAGACTTTAGACTCAAAAGCCTCTTGGTTTGAGTCATCAACAACTCCTGAATCGTTATGCTCCCATGGATCAGTTTCATACTCGGTTTCCTCTGAATCAGATTCGGAATCATTCTTCATTTGTTCAGACTCTGATTCTTTGTTGCAAGCCACAATGTTCATGGTGGTAAAAGCAGCATGGTCTACAACTACAAAATCATCCTCCTGCGATGTTTCTTGTCCTTGGACTAGAACAAAACTATCAGAAGCTGGAACCGTGTTGGACTCTGCAAAGAAAGCCCCCATGGAAATTTAGAAATGCAAACAAGAAAAGGCAAAAAGTAAACAACATTGATGGTTATGCTTGTGTGTATACCTATTCCATTCAGTTGTTCTTTAGTGGTGTTTGCATCAAAGAAAGTGATATCGCCAAGATCACCATACAATATATCAAGATCTGGATCATTCTTCGAACCATCCCATTCCTTCTCCAACGAATCGTTTAAGTCTCTCACCGAGATAACTTCAGCCTCCTCGGTTCTTTTAGAGTTGCCATCTGATTTCGCCTCGAGTTTGGAACCTGCGTATTACAACAACTGAACTTGATTACAAACTCATTATAGACAAACACAACTTATAAGAACACAGCATTGCATCTGTTTTGCAAACCTGCTGGTGAATCTTCGTCCTTCTTCGGTACATTTATGGATTCCTTAGTCTTCAAACTCAGGTCAGCCATGTATTCTTCTAACAATTTGACTGACCTTCTAGTGCTGTACACCCGCTGGACCGACTCTTCCTTCTTGGAAGATGCAGCTGCCTGAGCCCTTCTCGTGCTTCTCGCCGCTGGAGTTTTGATCACATTAGCTTCAGGCTCAATATCTGTAACCTCCAACGTCATAGCAACCGAGTTAGCTGCTGCTCTTCTACGGCTTTGAGGTCCTGATGGATCCTGAAGCAGGTTCGCATTTCTGTTTTCTTGCTCCATTTCTCCAGCGAGGGACTTGCTCGTCACATAGCAAGACCGAGTCACCAATTCTGATGACTGAGTTTCATCTTTAGTGGGCTTTCTTCGAGTTGTTCTGGCTGCAGTACGAGCAGCACTCGGCAAATTCTTCGCTACACTGGTTGGAGATTGGTCAAAAGTGGACTCGGATTGATTCAGATACTCATCAATACCTTCAACCTATCAAATCATAATGGTCAGACACAAGCAATGGCATATAAGACTTGGAGATCTGGAAAAATCAAGACAACTAACAAAAAAAAAAACATTCAATCTTGTTTGATTTAGCAGATCTTAGATACTGTCCCAATGAAATCGATTCACACATGATCTGAAACCACTTAAGAGAAATGTTCCGATTCATATTCGCACTATCAAACAATCCAACAAAAATCTCAAAACTTCCAAGCAATTACAGTGATTATTCTCCCAGAAATAGATAAATCTATAAACCATTTGCAATAAAATCGAGAGAAATGAGAAGCAAAAGACTTACAATCTCAAGAGCTTTGAGAGCATCAGCCATGGCGATATTGGTCATATTCGCTTGGATTTTGTTCTTCTTACAGAAAAACTGAAGATCTCTTCTCGCAAGACTGTCGAAATCCATCGCCGCAAATGTAGAAAAATATAAAAGAAAAAACTTCTGATTGGTTGAGAAAACGACAGTTGAAAAACGAGAAGTTTCTGCTATGAGTCCTAAAGATCCGAAGAAGAAGGGTATTTATACATTAGGCCGGCGAAGATGATAAAAAAAAAACCCTAATTCCCCTCTCTTAAGCGAAAGTGACCGTTGGGGATCAAATTTTGAATTTTAAATATCTAAAATGTATTAAAAATGATCGCTTATTATTGTGGGCTTAAAAACTTTAAAAGCCCATAGTTTGGATTGATCGATGGGCCTATGATTCGGTAACGTAGAAACACGCGCTTTTCGGGAGCGCGTGTAAATTCATTCAACTGCGCTGCTCGCAATTCACCATCCG